AGGTGGCATCTTGGTTATCTTTAATTCCACCGTAGACTAGCTCTTGATAAAGAGCCAATTTTCTCTCTATTGTCCTTCCAATTCTCCTTCACACAAGTGAAAGGTTGAGGTGGTAAGGTGGATTTACTAAATAATTAAATATAGTTTATATGACACCATCATAGATGCTCAAACAGTTCTTACTTTGTCATATTGAGTTGAGTTGGACTAGGATACTAAATGAATTTATAATGCTACAATCCTTGTTAGAATAATCGATAATCTAATTGATTAATAGTTTTTAACTAATAATGTGGTAGAAGTTTATTGATAAGTGTTGATTTAATGTGGCTTGCATTTTCTTGGCGCCACTTCTATTCTTCGAGACAAGATAGGTTGAGTTGAGTTGAGTTGAGTTGACCTCCAAAATAATATTAGAAAACAAAATTTTATTAACCCTGTGTGCTACAAAAAATGTAATCAAAGTTTGCATGATTGTATATACCCAAACTATACATAATGGTTGTTTTGTGGTTTTGTGATATTATAATCATGGTTGTCACCAATATGTTGAAAGAGGACTACAATGGTAGGATAATATGAAAAATCAATGCATGTGAATGTTATTTTGCTATAGGGCACTTCCTCATCTTTGAATGTGACTTTCAAGTGGCTAGGGCACATGCCCCCACCCACCCACCCAAGTGTGCAACATTCATAAGCTTAATTAAAAGACAATAACTTGACTATAGGTTCAACCTAAGTCAACATAAAAATCAACATGGACTTTATTTGCAAAATAACTTCGTGTTGTTGCAACACGAACCATGTATGGTGTTCACAATAAGAAGGAAAACATTAATGATTTTTAGGCTGCCATACCAAGTTACAGCTCAAGGATAGTTTTTTAATGTTCTAGTACAAACATATTTTTAGCTGCCACAACGGAAAATTAAGTGAGCTTTATACAAGGTCTTTTACATCACCTTTTGTGAAAGTTAAATCAAAATTGCGATGTTGGACAATTTTTAACACTAATGACACAAAATCGCCATAGTTAGTGTTTTGTGTGTGCGTGCATGTGCGCGTGTGCATGTACATGTGCGTGTGTGCGTGTGTGCATGCACGCGCGCACGCTTGCATGTGTGTGGGTGTGGGTGTCGGCATGGGTGTGGGTGTGGGCATGAGCGTGTGTTGCGTGCGGCGTGTGTGTGGTTTTGGATGCTTGCGTGCTCGAGATAAAAAAGGACAAATAGAACTTGCCATGTTGAACACCAAGAGTGATTTGATGCTGTGGCTGTTGATAGTCACCAACTCATCATTCCACACCATCAACAGTGCTTAATACGGGAATGTATATCACATCCACCTTAGTCATAGGGTTTAACTCTAACAAATTCCATAAGTTTTGATGACTATGTGAGTGTAAGGACAAATTGACAAAAGATGGGCTCGAATGGGCTCAATGGGGGGAGGGGGCATCGAGCGACCTAGGCCAAGGTTAGCCGACCCATGCCAAACCCATTCAAGCCCACCACTTTGATGCATGTAGAGAAAACACACTCATGATGCATCTTACATGTTGATTCAATGTCGAATTGGATCGGTGGACACGATGAAGCCAAATGGAGATCACATGGATTCATGGGCCTATCCATCAGGTCTAAATGAAGTTCACTTTGACCAGAATTTGTAGAGCGCTCTACTCAATTTGTTGAGATCCGGGTTAGAGTAGTAAGTTTCTAGCATAAACTTGTTGTTTAGGCTTTAGCTTACCTATGAATACAGACTGCCCCATAGATGTGTGCTAGCTAGTAGGTGGTGACAACCTTGTCTAGCCTACATAATCCACCATGTTCGAGTAGGTTCTTAAAATATAGGGTCCAAAAACGGTCTATCTCTATCAACCCTTGTTACCCCTTTTCTGTTGGTGTTTGGGTCATGCCCCGAAGTAAATAGTCATAGTATAATCTTTCTTAATCTTGGAAACCACAGATATCCTCTCTACCCATCAACCTTTACCCTTGTTGCCCTTAGATGATCTTGATTCTAAACTAGTCACTTCACATTCTCCGTGGAAATTTGATACCTTAGAATACTCCCGGGTGAATGCTATATTGACATCCGTGTGCTTACGGATTTATCAATCTGCTACATAAAGTGCTAATAGTGGGCTTAATTTTAAATCATGTGATATGTTCAATCTGAGGAATATGATTGCACATGGCCAAGGAATTAGGTTCCCACATGATGGATGCACCATCTTTCATTATACTTATATGTATATGCAAGATGTAATTTGAGCAACAACATCATTCCAGAAACCATGTAACCATATTGGGCCTATTTCATTGAGCTCTTCCTACTCGATTCTCTATGGGAAGTGATTTTCTAAGAGAAGTGATTTTGTGGACAAAAATGACCTCGATGATTCTTTAGGATAAACTCTCTGCAAAAGTGATTCTATGCGCGTAGTGAATTAGGAGAATCTACTTTTTTTAGCTCCTAGCCTTCTAGTTCATTTTAGAAAATCATTTCATAGAGTCAATGTAGAAAACTAATGATTCAAACTTTGATGCATTTGCTCTATCATAGATGGGTGCAAACTTAGTGCAAATGCATCAGAGTTTGAGAATCATGCAAGTTTAACCAGGTGGACTTTGGTATTTTCAAAAAGTTTGGAAGTTTGCCATTTCAATAATTATATGCACCAGATGTCAAAATCTATACAATTTTTTGGGTGCATGTGCACTATATATAACCATGCCCTAAATTTTTTATTTTCATAAATAATTGTGTAGATCGAGTTCGCAATCCATAAAAATAATTTTAGATTTTATCACTTTGATCTTTGTATGCATATGCTTTGTTCCAATACATAAAATTTATTAAGTTCCGCTGTAATCATGCTCGAATGAAAATCTTCTTTCTCACACCTAAATTTTTTGCTTTCATTTCCATTATTCCCTTTATTATTCCCAAATAGCACCCATAAAGAGCAACCAAGATGCGAATGAAATTCTTCTATGCTATACCCCAATTTTAGTTACTATCAATTTATAGTGGATTGCATTATATTAAAGTTACGGTGATTATTTTGGTGTAATTCCTTGGTGGAATTGGTATAACTAAAGATCTATTCTAGAATCAGTGTAATTTCCAGGTAGTTAGTATCAATTTTAGATTTGGTTGACAATACGGTCTAGTTGAACTGAGCCTAATTAATATTTCCTCATTTGCATCTTATATAATGGTTTTCTTTTTTTTTATGTTTCCTTTGTTTTTTGTGGTCATTTGATCTTTACTTTATATAGTAGTAGTATTCCAGTGAATAGAAGGTTCAAATCACACTATGTTTCTTAATCTATGTTATTTGTCCCTATTCAGTACTCAGGCTATACATCACTTGATTTGCTAGCAGCTAGATATTTGTGCGATATCTATTGACTATTGTCAAATAACTTGGGTATACGAAAACCTCATATTCGTCATCATGCTGATGAGTATAGACAGCTGAGGATTGTCGTAAATTCGCATGAATGATTGATTGTTGTTTTGATGTGATGGAGATGTTCCATATAAATTCATAGCTTCTAGTAGTAGTTAGGTTCGAATGTTGTAATGTTGCTTGGAAATTTCATAAAGGTCTACATGAAAATCCCTTTGCTGCCTTTCAAGCTTATTGATTTTCAATCTGTTTTACGCTTGTTTTTTTATTTTCCCTATCATATTTTGTTGTGTTTTTCATTGCATAGAAATTGATATCTTCTAGTAGTAGTTAGGTTCGATTGACGCAAAGCTGTTTGTGATTTTCATAAAGATCTATATGAAAATCCTTTTGTTTTAATTCAAGCATCTGTATTTGTAATCTTTACATGTTTCTTTTAAATTTCCATCTCATCTATTTCTTTGACGTTGATTTCCATACAGTACTGCAAAGTTGGTTGCTATTTTCATAAAGATCCATAAATTTCCTTTGGTTTGCATCATGCATTTGTATTTGAAATATGTAATTTGCGTCTTTTTATTTTTCATTTCATCTTCCTTTTATTTTGATTTCCATAGAAATTCATTGCTTATATTATAGTAGTAGTTAGACTGCTGCAAATTTACTTGGGATTTTCATAGAGATCCATAAGTAAATTCATTTGTTTTACACCATGCATTTGAATTTATATTATGTTATCTCTATGTTTAAACTTTCTTTCTCATATTTTTCTTTGTATTTGTTATCCAAACTTTTAGTTCTTTCTAATTGTTCATGTATTTTGTTTATTGAGTATCGAGTATTGTCGCATTTGTTCTTTTATTTATGATTTATGATATTTCTGTTATATTTAGGAAAGAACTCTGAGTGATCCAAGCTTAGATATATTTAGGAACTTGTGTGGAGGGGGGAGGATGGGGTAACAGAATTCGTGTGAATCTAAACTTTATTTCACTTTATTTTTGTTTTCAGGTTTATTTGAGTGATTTGGCCTCATTCTAACTCTGTTGTTGTTGCACATTTGTGTAATTTGTTCTCTCCAATTGCTTGAGTGATTAAAGGGGACGGATCACGTGGGTTCTAAACATTTTTATTTTTGCTTACCCATTGATTTCACTTTTTTTTTTAAAACTTTGATGATTTCACTTATTTTGGGGAATCTAGCTTCTGTATTGGACCTCCCTTTCCACGCGCAGCTCTTGGCCCTGCGCCTGCGTGCCCCCCTCCAAGCGCTGTGTCGTCAGCACTGACTGAAGCCCTGAGGCGCCGGCCCGATGCCAACCACGTGTCGGCCTTGACGGTCGCCATCGCTTGGCGCCGCACAGCCGCCCCGCGCGCTGCTATATATGGCGTCCGCGCAGCACGGCGCATTGTTTCATGCCTTTCCCGAGCTAGAGCCTAGAGAAAGGGGTCGAATCGGCGGCTGATTTGACTTCGCCCGCTATTCGAGCTGTGAAAGTGATCCGAGCAGTCACGGTTTCGGAAGCGGCGGGTCGGCCGGAGCCGGAGGAGAAACGTAACCAGCCGAGGAGATATGAGCGGCGGCGGAGGAGGAGGCCGAGCGCCGGCGGCGCAGTCGCAGGAGCTGCAGCTGCCGCCGGGGTTCCGGTTCCACCCGACCGACGAGGAGCTGGTGATGCACTACCTCTGCCGGCGCTGCGCCGGGCTGCCCATCTCCGTGCCCATCGTCGCCGAGATCGATCTCTACAAGTACGACCCCTGGCAGCTCCCAAGTACGTGTCGTCCGCCACCGCTCCGTGCATACGCAGTACAGTTTGTTCCAAGTTTCTTAGCTCGCCTGTACCTGAATCCTGATCGGTGCTACTGTCTTTGGTTTGTGCAGGGATGGCGCTGTACGGCGAGAAGGAGTGGTACTTCTTCTCCCCGCGGGACCGCAAGTACCCGAACGGGTCGCGGCCGAACCGCGCCGCCGCCGCCGGGTACTGGAAGGCCACCGGTGCCGACAAGCCGGTGGGCACGCCGAAGCCGGTGGCCATCAAGAAGGCGCTCGTGTTCTACACCGGCAAAGCGCCCAAGGGCGACAAGACCAACTGGATCATGCATGAGTACCGCCTCGCCGACGTCGACCGCACCGCCCGCAACAAGAACAACAGCCTCAGGGTACGTTCACAGTCCCGGCGCGAGCATTTCTGTGTAGAAATAATATATCTCTTGCTCGTACTATATTGTTTGCTAATATCTCTTGTCCCGTCACTACACTGTTTCCGTATCAAAAAAAAAAAGTTCAGATAAGAACGTAATCATCGACACGTATGGATCACAAAGAATAATTAGCAATCGAATTATTACTACTAGCTAGGCGCGGAAAAAAGATGTCGAGTCCCCCATTTGTGCAAGTGTGAACCCCTTGGAGATGCTGTGCCGTGCGTCATCTCCTTCAGCCGCCAAGTATCTCTTGCGCTTTTGCGAGCTACGACAGCGATCGGATACGATCGAAAACGACGCATCAATGCCTATGGATTTCATTTGATCGTTAAGAAAATCGTATAATTGTTTTTCCTTTCTGCTGGATAGATAGATTGGGCAGTATGGGCGTGATTAAGAAATTGTTTTTAATTTCCTTCCGTCTTTTTCCCTGTTGCAGTTGGATGATTGGGTGCTGTGCCGAATCTACAAGAAGAAAGGCGTGCCGGAGAAGCCAACCGGAGCCGGCGGCGGGGCCGAGGCGAGCAGCCAAGGCGCGCAGCTGGGGTCCATGGGCTCGCCGCCGGAGCAGATGCCATCCGTGCTGCCGCCTCCCACGGCCACGGCCGCGGCCGGGACGGGGTTATACGCGCCGCCGCCGTTCTCGGAGCTGGCGGCGTACTGCGAGGTCCGGCCGTCGGACTCGATGCCCCGGGCGCACGGCGCGGACTCGAGCTGCTCGGGCCAGGGCCACGCGCTGGCTGCTACGTCGTCGTCGTGCGGCGGCGGCGAGCGGCCTGAGGTGCAGAGCCTGCCCAAGATCGCCGAGTGGGAGCGCACGGTCGCCGGCGCCGGCCCGGGGATTAACCCGGCCGGCTCGATGCTGGGGCTTGGCGGGCATCATCAGCTCGGCCCAGCGGCGGTCGGGTGGGGGCAGCTGCCCGCCGGCGACCCGCTGCTCCAGGACATCCTCACGTACTGGGGCAAGCCGTACTGAGGAAGGACGGTGGCTAGCCGCAATTGTCGTCATCGGGATGACTGGGCCGAGCCGCCGGCTATGAGGCCGTGTCGAGCCCTGATCGTGGAGCAGGACTGCAGGACCATTGCTTATTACTGCTACGAGAGTGGAATTAAGCTGTGTATATGCGATTGATTTGGTGCTGGGATTTTTGTGTACTTATATTAGTACTAGTATATGTATATACACTTGAGTATATATGTTTTTCTTATATATATGGAGTAATATTTATAATATTATATCTATCTATTTATTGGACTGTCCCGAGATATGGCATTGCATTGGTATGGTGTGCATGCAGGGTATTGGTAATTTGGTATGGACGTATATATGGACACAACTGCATGTCTGAATTCAGATCGATCGATAAAATTATTTCAGCGTGATGTTTTGGATTTGTGTGAAGCTAAGCACTGTGGGGTGGTTCTATATAGTCCAGTACAGACCTTATTTCTAAACGTAAAAGTTTCACAATTGACACGAAACAAGTTTCACAATTGACACGAAACAATTTTATTCCGCAGAAAACGTAAGAGTCAAAAAAAAAAATCTCAAGTTCCAAAAGAGTGTTCTGAATCGGACCCGACACCACACACCAATTCTCACCGGGCATATCTGAACTACAATCACAAAGTTTCCGGAACCATTGGGTCATGGAACGGAGATTGAAAAACATGATACACTTTTTTGAAAAAGAGTTTTCTAGTTTCCGAAATGATTGGGTCCTGGAACGGATCAAGAATTTAATATAATTTTTAAGAAAGAGTTTTTTTTACTGTACGTAGGGACAAGAGGGATCCCACGACGTTCCCGGGACGTGGCATCGTACCACGGTCCCGGTGACGGTGATCTGTACACGACATACGCATGATCAGTGCCATCTTTCTGCCCACACTGGTTGCCCGAGTATGATTAATTTAACTGGCCTTGTACTTTGGCTACTTTACTCCTGCAATGTGTTTTTCAGAACGCGCGTGTAGCGCGATGGGATACCGATATCGTGATGTGCCCGTTGTCTCGATCCGTGGATTGGTTCGTTGCTGCCGTGCGTGCCTTGTGCTGCACACGTACTCCTAGCTAATAGTGAAATGGACGAATGTCCCTCCTGCTAGCTATCTTTTTTCACACCAGTACCATCATGTGTGAATGTCGTTTACAAGGTGCATCTATAAACAATCACAAAATCCACGTTCTCTTTTACTACCTTAGCTAGTTCGATCTGCAGTAGTGGTAAGTGCAGAATCCGTGTCCATACACGCGTCATCTCGTCGCTCCAAGTTGCAACCCTCACGGAGTCGCGGTCCCCAGCGCACCGTCGCTTGCGGATAAAAGCACCGCCGTTTGGACTCGGTTCCAGCAGCGGTCACGCTCACCGGCTCACGCGCGCGATAGCGAGAATTCGAGATCGTCACGCAGCCGAGGAGGATCGGAGCCATGCCTGAACCGCAAACTCTTCTCTCCTCGAGGAAATTCCACTCCAAGTCTTCAAGATTTACCAACAATCCGTGGCTCCTCGACGTCGTGCACATCCATTCTTCATCATAAGCTTCTTCACGGCCTATCCCTCCGTACGTGGCAGCACCGGGTGCTGGGTGCGTACGGGCCGGTAACCGTGTCACCTCGGACATGTTCGGCGACACGCAACCCTGCAGGAGCGGTCGAGTGCGCGCGCGCGTACGTGTGCAGGCGCCGAGCCACACGAAGCGGCCGATCCAGCATCTTCAAAGCTGCTCGGTCAATTGGCACGTGTGGGCATCGTCAATACGGACGGATCGGGGCATTGCCGCTAAAGCGCACGAGACGCGGTTGCGCGAGTGTGGCCGGCGCGACTTTTATCGAGTCGTCGTCGTCGCGGTGCGCCGTGCCGTACGCCCGCGGCCTCCCTCTCGGACTTCCCTCGCCTAAACGGAGACCGCCCGCCACGCTGCTACACGTCGCCTTCGCTCGCGCGCCACGGACACGGATGAGGAGCTTTGCTGTCCATGCGCGCGCCATGCGTCCATGGCGTGCGCGAAGCAATGCGCCAGCCGGCCGCCTCCGCAATGGCTCCGGAGCTTGGAAAAGTACGAAGCGCAATTGGTGGCTGGCTTGATGTGTGAAGCAAATGGCGCTTGCTTTCCGACGTCTTGTCGGGCTTTGCGTTGCGTGGGCCTATTGCCGGTCAGGTGGCTGGACTTCGTCCAGGCTGGGCCTGCGTCAACTGCCCTCGCTCCTTCCCGAGCGGTCAAGGCCCGAGGAAGTCAGGGCGGCTGCGTGCCGCCTGGTTGAGAGAAGAGGGTTGGTCGAGATGGGCCGCATAGTGTTCGGGCGAGGGTACGGATGGTTGAGGCGGGCCACAGGTGCTGGGCCATGGCCAACCGGGGCACCTAATTTGCTTTGCAGGCCGCGTCGTGGGACACCCCGTTATCTGCCCCCACAATAGTATATCAGTATTGTTTGCCTACTATTTTAATTTTTAAAGATTCACATATATTTACTATTTTTTTCTTGAGGACTTAGACATGGATTCTATTATTAATAGTAGGTATCAATTTTGTATATTTGATAGTTGTGTCTTAGGCTTTTAATGTGGGGCTATCACTTTGAGGATTCTTGGAGACTTAGTGAAAATCACCCTGTGTATCGTCATATAAATATTTTGGATACCACAATTCCAAAATTAAGTAAGTCTAATTAATCAATGTTGCATGCCAACTAATAGTATAAAAGATCAAATCCCTTCGTCATCTAGACTTCGGTAAGGATACTATTATAAAAAAACATTAATTATCGCTACCACCTAGATTTAGTTTGGTATCTGTTTGAAGATTCTTGGGCATTAATGGAAGCCTAGTACACTATATTCTCCATTGCTATAAATAGAAAGAATCACCATTCCATTCGAGCAAAGATCAATACAAGATCCCAGCAAAATCAACCCAATACTACTGTAGAATCGCTATGAAAGTAGTCATTAACATCCTTGTTGTGTGCGCTTTTGTATTTACCATGTTTAGAATTGGTGGAGCTTTTGATAACTACGATTGTCAATGAGAGAAAGATTTAGTCATCAGCAAATGCATGGACACCATAAGAAAAGAGGGTGATTACGTCCCCCCAAAGGAGAAATGTCGTAAAGAGGTGGAACATTGTGACATGACTTGTGTTTGCCATATACTCAACCATAATGATGAGAAGCATGTAGACCCGAAGAAACTTGTTCGTCTTGCAAGGGAATGCAACAACCCTGTGCTAGTTGGATATAAATGTGGAAGTAAGTTCTTAAATGTATTCATTTCATCATAGCAAAATAAACATTTGTAGTACTACGTCTTTACTATATATGCAAGAAATGTTCATACTAATTTTACACAATTCTTAGTGATGTTTAGGTTGGACTGTTCACCCGCCAAATTAACCTTGCCACCAGAGGCACATCCATGAGTTATGACGAAAACATTCATGTAACCCATGGAAGAATAATGAAATAATAAGTTTTGGCAAGTATTTAGTTGTTGAGAGTTGATAATTGTTCAATTTTTTGGGCACCAAAAGCAAAAGGAATTTCGGGCACATCTTGAGCCGCTCTATCAATTCGATCTGAATAGCATTTAGACTGCATGATGTGTTGAATTCCTCCCCGTGGATGGATTCAATGATGTCCTTTGTTATCCTTTTCTTGTCAAAGAAATCTGAGACACAGACCCATATCATCGCACCAAAATGGTCTTTCACCCTTAGATCATTGTAGATATATTGAACCAGGCAAGTCTTCCCCACCCCGTGAGTGCCAATTGGGGTGACAAAAACATTGATTTTGCAGTTAGTCTCAGCATGTCCTGCCCTGATGCTTTTAATTATGCTTGGCTCTGCTACAAGAACACCCCACATGTAGATACGCTTTCTATAAGGGTTTGAAACGCTTTATTTCATCTTTATGGGATTATAGATATGCTTTGGTAAAGCGTGTCTGGAGCGTCTCCCTACGGACCGTGTCTGGATATATAGATACGAATTAGGAAACGTGTCTAGGGGCTTTGAGACGTTTTTATAGGCGCGTTCCTAGCGTGTCTACACCATATCGTGCCAAGATTTGTAGACTAAGACTTTAAACGTGTCTAAGAACTTTGATATGCTTTCATAGATGCGCTTGATGCATGTCTACACATGTAGGAATGCTCTTGCATATACTTTTACATTACGCATCTACTGATGTATAGACACATTGTACAGCAACATTTTACTGTGTGCTAAAGAATAATTGATGTGCTTTTACAGATATGTTTATATTCGTTTCTACTAACTAGACGTGTTTTATGTGTAATACACAAACCATTTTAAGCATATTCATATTACAGTCACGTTAACAAGATTAAGAGATGCTATTTTGCAAATAAACAACAAAAGCGTAAAACTGTACATCATACATACTTATATAAAAGTGCATTTAATAACAGAGTCAAACATCCATAGAACTGTTACATAGTGAATGAGCAATATCTCTAAGTAGAAAAACATATCTACAGGCAATATGGACATATCCATAAATAAGTTCTACAAACTAGTTGATTAGCTAATTCATCTACAATCTTCATTCATCTGAATCATTCCATTCTGCTGCAAAATAAGAGAGTGAAGAAAATTAGGCAATGGCCTTTTCAAAATTGAAGGACAGTAAGTTTTTTGTAGCTCTACAGAAGAATGTAACTAACCAAGTTATCATGCACATCTTGGAGTTGAAGTCTTAGGTCTTTTCACCTATATAAACATGGACATCTTAAATTAGTAAGCTTAAGAAAAAATAAATAATTGGAATGTACTATAGGTCAGTGTGGAATTGAACTTACACGTGATCTAGGCCAAGCAACAACACAGCCAATGGCATCTCCTACTGTGCGTAGACTTTCGTATGGTCTAGGCAACTTCTCATCCCCAATGTCACGTACATTGTGAACAGCAACCGCGACATATTCATATCCAAGCATGTCTCCTCCAACCAC